ATAGACACGAAAAAAATCACCTAAGTTGTGATTTCGGGGGTAGAACTCTCTATCTTTTATCTTTTGCGTTAATCAAGGATTATTTTAGTCCAAAGGGACATTGATTTCCAGAAGGACTATTGATTTCGCTTTGGCATTTTGCGTTGATTCACTATAAACGTTGATTCACTTTTCAAATTGTTGCTACCAAATATTAGAGCCCTGCATTATATTTAAAGAAATTAAATAATGGAAAATCTGCGTAAGTGTATGTATGTTACTCTCATTGTGATAAAACAACGATACCTAGAGCCATCAAATTTTGAATAACGTACGTTTCCACCGAATATGGGCCTCTGGAAGCCCAAATTTGGAATTTGTTTTATTATCTATATCATATTTTGTAAACCTTTAACGATTTTTTGATTAACAAACTCAACTATTTAAAAGCGAGCAATGGCAACACTAAAAAAATTATCTCCAGCGCGCGGACTGTGTATCGGAAATTTTAAAGATATGCTCATTTAAAAATTATTTTGCAATATTGCTGTTCGACTGCATTTTATGGTTTAAGTGCGAAGAACATGATATTTAATAAATAAAAGTAACACACAAAACGTTAAAAAACATTGATTTTATTTATCTAAAATTTCATAAAAATAATGCTAAGATAAAGAATATGCGTTTCATCTCTAACTTTTTTTCTTTCTGGATTTATTTGATTATGGCTTCTTCTTTTTACAGTCGGTTGCGATAATTAACAACTTCTTCATCCCACTACAAAAATTTCATTGCTTTCGGCACGCGTTTTTGTTTTCTTAAATAGGTCACTGTACATTTTCTTGGGTTGTTTTGCTTCGATTACTTCGTCAGTTTCAACATCGGTTTTGGTTTGATAAGGAAGTGAAGAAAATTCTTCAGCAGTGAGAATTTACGATTTTTCGATTTATGTTCTTTTTATCTGATTTTCTTGCGGTCTTCGAAGATTTTTCTTTCGTTTTTGATTTTCATATCCTTCACAAGCTCTGTATGAACTAACATGTCTTCGGAAGAAAAAATACATTTTGGCCATTCCATTTTGCGCGGATAGAAAAAAAAATCCTAATGAACATTTAACACATCTTGGGAGATAGTTGCACATATATTGTGAGTCCCCATATCGTAGAAATCGAAAGCATTGTGTCGGCTGGTTTCTAGGTTTCAATTTAGAAACAGTAACTCTTGAAGTTTAGCAGAAATTCTAAATTATAGACAGGTCTCTCAGTAGCTTAACATAGTAAACTGGCAGTTTAATCAGACTTTCTTTGTTTTCTCTAGTAAGTTATTTTATTTTGATGAAAAAGTATTTTTATTAACTAATTAGTCTTTTATTTCTTTCTCAGGACTGATATTCTTTATCACCACTCTGATTCTTCGTTTAGAATTTAGCATGAACGTGAAAAACGGGGTTCCTCTTTCTTAAAATGAAGAAGAAGTCAGTTGGGTAACAATTCTGCACTTATTAACAAATTCCAGATAAATACTTATTATTCCATTTATAATTTTCGCTTCTATGTTGTCATCTCCAACCGTCATCCTTATAGCAGATCAGCCGACAGTGATAACTATTGGTGGTGGCCTTTCGGGAGCTTCCGGATCTTTTTCAGTAAGTCTCCATTTCATTTTCATTTTCATCCGCTAACGAAAGTAAACAACATTTATTTTTATTTTCAAAGTCTTTCAGGAGGTTTCACAGTATATTGGGGCTCAATTCATTCATTTTCGTAGGAACGGCTCTGAAATCGTACAACTTTTCCACGTCAGATTTTCAATTTTTTTTTTCCTTAGAGATTTTTTGAGAGCCAGTGCTGTAGCTTTCCCATCTGTCTTGAATTTTCTCCTAGCAATAATAAACACAGCTTCATCCTTATCTGAGCCATCTGCCCAAAACTTCTTTGGTTCTGATAAATGCTCTGTTTGGGCGAGCATAATCGCATGAGGTTTGATATTATCGGCAAAGGCATTTGACTTCCTGTGTTTAGAAATTTCTCTCTATTTACATTATATTTTACATCTGCATGTAGTTCTAACTCTTCTGTTATGTAATCACAGTAAAATGTCTGCAGCGTCTTGTATCTTTCATGACATTCTTCCGGAAGAAGAAAAAGAAATAAAGCTGTTCGTCAACTTAATACCTCATTTGGCGACATTTCTTTGTTACTTTTAGCCTTATTTGGCCGTTTTAGCCTTATTTGGCGATTTTTTTTTAATGTGGCTAATTTAGTTTAAAAAATTTATTCAATTATAGTTTGATCATATGAATCGAATTGTTGATCGTAATGAACGATATATTTTCCATGCTTTCGTATCTAAACGAACCAGACCTCGGCAATTCGATAACAATATCCGAATGATAACATTAACAGCGATCCCATTTAAGAGGCGCGTCTACTGTACTGCTTACGAAAACGCTTGCATCCAGAATTCTATCCCAGGCTATAAAAAGCGTAAAGAGTGATACATTATTGATATGGCGCAATGCAACAGATAGACGTTAAGTTCAAACTAGCGCTTATAAAGAAATGAAAAAAAAAAAAAAGCTCCGGGTGTTTAAACACATAAAAAAGTGCACTAATTGAATTGATGTAGAGACATTAGATATTTTTTGAGAGCAAGAGAGATGAAAAATGAGCAGTTGCCCTCGCCGGGACTCGAACCACGGACCTCTCGAATACGCGCCGAGTGTGCTTACCACTACACCACGAAGGCATGCTAAGAAGACGGGAGGAATATCTTATACCTACACATTCTATGATTCGTCTATTTAACAGAGTAATCAATCCAATGTCATTTTTAAGTTTGCGGGTTTGATCAGCAATTTGGTTCTTCGATATAAAAGTTTCTAAAATCGAAAATTTTCGTTTTCGACAAGGCCACATTTTTGTATTCTGCACAGTGGTAAAATTTTAGCTAGAGTAATATGTAATGCAATATTTTGAGTTATAAATAACCGTTTTTTTATTTTATAAATCTTGCTCGCTACCCTTTCAGCCGACATCATATCGAATTTTCGGAACTCTACTGTAATTGCAGATCGCTCTTTATTTAATTAGATAATCAACAGATATAAGTGACGGATATTACCTTTAAAAATCTGACAACGACAACACGACTTCTTTATACGGCCTATTAAATTATGCGTATTTTTTCTGCACTTCATTTAAGCTTATTTCTTCAAATTATTCTACCTTAACCAATCGATTCCTAAAAGCAAGTTTAAAATGGCATCAAAAATTGCAAAGTTTGAAATTAAGTATCCGTTTAATTTTTGTCGTACGGGAGCCAAACTTCTTATATTTCTATTTTTTCAGAACGACAGAACGAGAATAAAACTTTCACAAATATAAGCACAGGGACCCGAAGACCACATTAAAAGTTAGATTTGATTATTTGTCAAAAATTAATTCTTTTCAAATTTGACGTTGCCCAAACATATTTTCGTTATTTAAAACAGTTTGTAACTGGAAGTATATGAGTGCGACCAACAATTGCGAAAATAAAGGCCGGCTTCAGACTTCAGAAGGTGAGGCGAGTGGATATATATATGTTTGGTATTGCAGATTGCAATAAAAAATAGAGGCGCATAACTAGATGTTACAGAAGTTCGATATACAAAATTTCAACGTTCTACGGCTAAACGTTCTTGAATTATGCAAGATACATAAATGCAGACGTCTCCGAGAAAAATCCCTTTTAAATCCATTTTACAATGCGTTTTGGGGGAAAACATCCTCTATTCTGTCCGTTCGTACGAATGTCACGCAAAAAAATCCTCCAGATCGATTCGGGTATGGTCAAAACGGATATTTCCGTTGAAATATGATGCCCGAAACTTTTCACGATTACAGTACTTCTTTTACTTCGTACAAGGAAATAAAAAAAATTTATAAGATTTCAGATTATCCGGCAGACAAATATATTAAAACTCAATACCAGTTATTCCATAGACTACAATCTCCCAGTGGCACTTTAAACAGCGAGAACTTTACGAAGTCTTCATCACATAAAGTCTCTTAAATTAGAAATGGCTGATCCGCTGATCAACTGATTGAAAGAACCGATATAATTTACCGAGGAGCGAATGGTGATTCTACAAAACTGAGCCGTAGCTCCTTTAAAGAGTTCCCCCACCGAGAATTCTTATTGGAGGCTTGCCAGAAAAGTTCGATTCCTTTTTTAGAAGAGAAAAATTTATTACCTTTCTCATGTAAAAACCAGTTTTTTGTTCACACGATCGTTCTCAGTGTTAACCTAGCATATTTGTATTATGCAGTTGTGCCATGTCTTTTACTGCGCTACTAGAGTCTTTCTATGTTTTAAGAGAAACTCAGTCTTTCTATGTTTTGAGAATGCGTATTAATATAGCTAGTCTCGTAATTTTTATTGTTTGTATTTTGATTATGACAAAGTCCGCCAAAGGGCAGGGATGCATTCATGAAGGAAAGGCAAACTAGTTCGTTTCCGTGTTACATGCGGGAGAATGTATGAAACCCCCCAATGCAGCCAGTTCATTCGCGTAAAATAGAACCCACGTCGAACTACCACTCTTCAGCGATTATGCCTCTCGGCTGCAACTGGAAGCCGTAATTTTAAAAAATACTCGACTGTTTGCTGTTCACTCGAAAGGAGGTCCAAAAATGTTTTAATGTTCTTTTCTCAGCAACTAAACAATAGAGTAATTTCAGTTAACGTATACCCTCTTCCATAAAAACTAAATTGGCTTATTAAGCATGGGTTTATGTAAACGAAAGCAAAGATCTTATGAATGTGTTGTGACGTCATATTTATTTATTACTGGCGCAAAATTACTATGTTTGACAACAGGTTTTTTTTTTTTTTTTTTTTTTTTTTTTTTTTTCCAAATATGGTTGGCGGTAAAATATGCCAGTACCTTTTTTCCATGCTTTGTAATTATTTCCTTATGTAACTGTATTTAAACCATTAAACTCAGTGAAATTAACAATGTTTTTTTTTTAACTTACACAGAGCTAGGATATATCTTGCAAAGTATTTCATTAGTTCTCATGCGAGATGGTAGCCCACACATACTTTGAAAGGAATCGTAACTTGATCGTAGACTTTGTTTTACTTCTGCATCTTGTGCTTCCTCTGAAGGATGATCATGCGAATCTGGATGCATCAGATGGTGGTGATCAGGATCAGCCCTTTTTTTAAATTTGTGAGGACTGACACTTGAACTTGTTATTTCGTAATTTTTAGTTTGTCTGGGCCATTCGTAATGCCGTACGGTTTGTATGAAAAAAGGCAAATGTTCATCTTCCTCAGATTTATCGGCTGCATAGTATTCATATGGTGCAAAGAGACTGTAATCATCAAGGTCATCGTCATCATCATCATCAACATCTATAATTGCAAAAAAAGGATAACTCTTAAAGTATTTTCGCCCTTTAAAATATAAAATAAAATAAAGTTATCTAAGATAATTTAACTGAAGTATAAGTGACTATCAAATAATCAATAATCCTGCTTATTGTAATGAAGATTATACATTGAAGTGGTACTGAATTAGGAATAGCAAGTCAATAACGAGTTGGGCCTCATTCGCTATGTGATAACGGCTGCCACATAGCGAAGCTTAGATTCATTAAGTTTTCGGAAGCGTTCCACGGGAATGGTTTGCCAAATATCGCGTAGATTTTTCCATTATTAAGGAAGGACCGCTAGCGTTGTGTGATGTGCTTTCACATTCTGCAAAACATCCCAAAGGTGCTCAATAGGATTTAAGTCAAGGCCAGTTCATGACAGAGAAGTCAGAGAGATGCTCATCCAATCAGGCAATAGCCAAATGGGACCTGTGAGATGTGCGGTTATCTTGGTGGGAGACTCCATTTCTGTGTGAATGAATGGACAACAAAAATGGATGGAGGTGACAGCCGAGCAACTAACTCTACGTACTACAAAATCGCATTCAAGGAGGTTGGTACAAATTCCAAAGATCCCAAACACCGCCAAGAGAAAACACCCCAGACCCTGATTGAATTACCATGGTCTTGTATAGTTCCAGATTGGCATGCAGGATCCATGGCTTCATGAATTTGACGCCTTATTCTCAGCCTCCGTCGGTGTTAGGTATCCTGAATCCAAACTCATCACTCCATGCTACTCGTTTCCAGTCCTCTAGAGGCCATTTTCTGTGTTCTATTACCCAGGCAAGAAATGCAGCTCAATGGTGTGCTCAGAGCAATGGTATTCTCATGGGTCTATGGCTCCCGATGCCCAAATGGTGAAGCGGAGCGCCTACTATTTGTCCGCTATCGAAGGCGTTTAAATCATAATTTTTACCCATACGAGCAATTGAAACGACTGATTAACAATAACCACAATACTAGTTATATATGCAGTTAACCCACAGCGCCCTTACGTGGCATATATGCGGAGCAGCGCTACACAATTTCCATAGCCACGTCTATTCCTAATTCAGTGTACTTGTAATTCACCAATAATATAGAAAATCATCATTAAAGCAATAATGAATCATGATTTCTATTTTGCTTTTCTTACTGATTGCATTATTCTTTGTCTCACGAACGTGAATATTATGTTCAGACATTTTGCTATTACTAGTGTCATCAATCATGCCTTCAAAATTAAAATTAAAGAAAAGGAATGTCGTCGAAACACATTTAGGGAAAACATACGTTCTTGTTAGAGTAATAGTTGGGAATTTAAAAAAGTTTCGAGCTTCTTTTTACGAATACTATATAAGAATGATATATATGCGTGATAATTCGTGATAATTTGGAATGGAAGATTCAGATACTTGCAATCATTGCCGATGAAACACAGTTTTTTTTTATTCTTGAGAAATATAATTTTTTAAAATGAATTGAGCATCATAATGGTCACAATGCTATTTTTCTTGAAGAACCGCATGGGTACAGTTTGTAATTTTGAAATACGTTTGAAGCAGCAGGCTTTGGTATGTCTAGATAGAAGGAGAAGCAGTTAGAAGTGTGATGAGTTCGAGAAGAAATTTTGATTCAAAATGAGTTAGTTTCGATTTCGATGTATTTTAATTTGCTCATTGATAACTCTAAGATTATTATTGAAGTCTTTATGTAAAACTCTGTAAACTTTATGTAAAACTCTTTTATTACGCTGGTGATACAGAGTTTTACATAAAGACTATTATTGAAGTCTTTATGTAAAACTCTGTATCACCAGCGTTATGTAATAATCGTATGACAAGGATTAATTTCGAAATGCCGCAGTTCAGAGAAGTTTATTATAAGCAGTTACTACTGTCAAGGCGAAAAGGAGAAATACTAAATTAAAAAATTAAAATGCAGAGTTAAGGGACTAAAGAAAATTAAAGTTAGTATTTTAATTTACAATATATATAGATATTTGTGTGTGTGTGTGTGTGTAATAATAATAATAATAATAATAATAACTGTAACTATCTTCGTATCTGGATGATAACTGTAACAGATTTGGGCAGCTGTTTTGCTGCATAGTTTGAATGACGCATAACGAAGCAGAGAACTGTAGACAGATATGGTCGAATTGAACATAACTTATATTGCTAGATAACGAATTAATTATCGAAACATATTTTTATACCATATCACATTTAGATAACGGCGTAGTTAGAGGAAAGGCAAAGTAAAGACATAGGCGAACCAAAGAACGGACAGGAAGAAGAGTCGAAACTAACCTCTAAATTCTTAATTAAATATTCAAGAATACGTATTGCACCATTTTGCGTCCTCATTTCTCTGCATTGCGAAAGCTCATGTCCAATTGCTATTCAGAACTCAAACAAAGAACTTCTGAGTTATATATACCTCAGCTGCCTTGAGCGCGTACTAGTTTGATCGCGTCTAGAATGAGGGATTAATATCTAAATTCATTAATATGGATTTCGAAAGAGAATTTATCTTTTTGATACACTCGTTCATAATAGAACTTTAAGGTATCAGTTGGTATTCATAGTGATTATTGACAGTGATTATTCACAGTAAATATTCATAGTGATGCGCCTCAGGGGTCGGTCATTGGCTCCGTTCTCTACTCGTATTACTTTGCAGATTTTCCAAAAATTCACTTAAACAATAGCTCCGTACTGGCCTGTTATACGGATGACACTGCCTTAGCAGAAACCTCCGCAAACGTAAACCATTCAATCAAGACGCTGCAAATCAACATCCCTTACATCGAACAGTGGTGCAAGCGTTGGAAAATCTGCATCAATGCTCAAAAGTCTAAACTTCTTATCATCATACGGAAGAAACGAAATCTTACTATTAAGAATAACTTATATTTATTTGATGAGCCCGTGTTTCACATGCGAAATATCTGGGAGTCATCTTCAATGACCGACTCACCTGGACTACACATATTGAACATGTAAAACGTAAAGCATTCAAGGTCATGACATTTCTCATTCCCAGCATTTGGAAGTATTCTAAGTTGGACTTAGCTAAGAAAGACTGATCTACCTTTCAAGCATCAGGCCTCTCGTGACCTATGCTTCGACGGCCTGGGCTACTGCGACAAAGTCAGACATACAAAAACTCCAAATAGTACAAAATAGATTCTTACGGAATATTCGCGAATGCCCAATACTTCATAAGAAATCAACTTCTCCGTCGGGACTTAAAAATTGATCCAGTTGCGAAGATTCTAAGAAACATGAATGAAAAATAATTTCGTAATGGGAAATTGTGTGAGCATATGAACTATTTTGGACTTTTCCAGTATGAAATCCTAACTGATGACCGCTATCTGGGACCCTTTGCTGAATTTTTACTAAATAAAAATCAGGACTTTCCAACCTAATAAAGTTTAATTATATATAATTCTGTCTTTCAAAACAGTGAAGGTCTGGAACTCAAGCAGCATTCGCTGTAGTCTGTACTTGGGTGGGTGACCACCTATGTGACTTTCACCCTGATAACTCTGTGTAATTTCTCTGACACTTTTAAATCTGTATTTATGAATACTGTTTGAACCGTATCTTTACGCTTTTATTTAAATTTACTGTAAAATTTATATTTTTAAGCTGACCTGGAATAACTCAACCAGCCAGATGTCTTTGACAGTTCACGCGACAATTGGTCATATCCCCTTCTCCACTTTCTAAGTTGATCTCTTTTGCACATCAGGCGTTACGTCATCTGAAACTCTACTTGAAGCATCTATATCAAGACAGCCGGTAAACAACATGCAAAACGCATGTTAAACGTGGCATATCAGCGGCACTTGGAACTTGGAAAGTGCATACTATTTTGTTACCTAAACTCGCTTGCTAAATGATGTTTCTTTGCTTAACCGCATTCTTCCAGTGTTACACACACATTTCTAAAGTGTAACTGTTTATACAAAATTGTACGCTGCCTGTTTCATCCATAATCGTGTGTGAAACATACATTGTGTCTCCAGAATTGCTTTATTCGATCGTAAAATTATGTTGAATTTGGCCACGTCTGTCTGCAAGTCCATCATTCCATCTACGCAGTAAACATGTCCAAGTTACATCTGCGTTACCACTGCCAATATATTACAGTTAACACCTGCAAAGTTCTCTGCTGTGATTAAAAAGTGAATTTGTGTCTCCTTCATTAAATTCTCTCATCGTATTACATACCCTAATTTCCAAAATATTTCACACACACATATCTGTGTATATAGTAAATTTTCAATTATTAAATTGCAATTTGCAAAATATTATTACCATTTCTTTTTCAAAAGTGCCACACATTTCCAAAATATTAAATTTTGAAAATTTCCAAAATATTACACACACATTTCCAAAATATTACATACAGACATATATGTATATATAGTTTAGAGTTTGCCTTACGCTTGCCCTTTGACAAGTCTGTTTGAAGCGGTGAACAAGAGAGATCAATATTTTGCTTTTCGCATTTTTTCACATTTTGAATGATCACTAAATTTGAAAACGACTTTAGTCGTGAACTTGTATTATATTCAAACTGTTTTTCGCACTGCTAAATGGGCAAAAATGCTGTTCTTAATGTTAATTATGAAACAAATAATTATTACTTTAATTTTTAATTGATAAAAAAACTGTACTATACATTCCTTATGAACAACAACTATTTTTAAAGAGTTTAGCTTGAAAAAGCTTATGATTACCGATTAAGATATAGACACTAGTGATGATAAGCAGTAACATACTTCGACGACAAAAGTATACATTTTATTTTATGATGTAAATATAATCCATGGCTATCAAACTTTTGTTTATTTTTAAGCTTCTGCTGCCTTTCACTTCTGTTATTTATGATTATTAACTCTGTAACTTTATCATGGCACAATTTTCCCCAAATTCAAGGAGATATTCTAACATTTCAAGAAGATCAATTTTCAGTGAACTTCAGAATTTTCCTTTTATTTATTCATTTCTGTTACAATTATTAAATTACATTTATAACTAGAGCATTTTTATGCTTTCCATTAGAGTTTCCGCAAAAATAAGCTGCAAAGCAATTCGAAAATCTAAAACTAGAAGATCTAAGTTTTGTTGAGCTCCATGAATCCGAGAAAAAGTCACTTCCTGAAGTTAAATAACGTGGCCCCGTTGCCTATCAATACCAAAAATAATTCTGATGGCGAACGATGCTTTTTAAAAAATGAGATACCTAATGAACAAAATCTGTATTGTGTTCAGTGTAACATACACAAACACAGTTCAGCTAAATAGTATTCTTGATCAAAAATAGAGATGCTGAGTACGTATCCAGAATCTGATTGGCTTGTATAGTGGAACCTCGAGCCACGAACGCCAAACTTCACAAACACTTCGGTTCACGAACAAATTATCTTAACATAAACGCCTTGGGTCATGAACGGTGTCTCGAGTTACAAACAATCAAGTCAGCAACATATGATTTTTAAAGGTGTTTTAAGCTAACTTGATACACGTAATTAACGCTCAAGATCTTCTAGAAACATCATTTTATTACTTTTCATTGCTTAATTCTCACTAATAAAATCTAACAGCAAGTGACTTGTAGCAATATGACTTCGGCATGGAAGATTGGGCCACATTGCGTTCCAGGCAGACTTAAGACGGTTTTGTTTTGTTATCTATAATATTGGGTCTCCAGAAAAAACCGTGCATTAGGGAATTTTCAGTGAAGACATGGGGAATTTACAAGAGGACGATAAAAATGACCTTAAAAAGAAACAGTTTCAGAAGCAGTAACAAAAGGCGACTGTAAAAGAAAAAAAACATTATTAAGAGAAGAAGAAAAAGTAAAAATTATCCTAGTTATCCTATTCGGGAAATTTGTACAAAATAGGATAAGATGGACAATTCTGAAGTAATGATATCACCTTTGCAAAGCATTAACAAGATAGAGCCTAAGCATTTTCAAAGACAATTTGAGAAAATCATACTGGACAAATTTTGAGTGAAAGAGAGGCTCTGAGTCTGAAGCAGAGTCGAATGGCGCTCAGTTTATCGAGTCGAATAGCACGAGATAAAGAAAAGGTGGAAGAAGTTAAATTTGATGATTTGATGTTTTTATGGATCTGAGGTTTTTGTAAAAGGAAATATCGAATCCAGATAACAGCTCCACATCATTTTCCATTTATGCAGTCTTTTTCGTACACTTTTCTTTAAGCAGATATAGCAAAATTAAATCAAGTTTTCGTCTGTTTTATCCACTTAATATTATATTTCTCTTTTTTTTTTTTTTTTTTTTTTTTTTATGTTTAATGATTCTCTTCGGCATTGGGTTATGACCTTGTGCACAAAGTATTGCTGTAAAGCTTAAATAAGCAGTCATCTGTTGTCCAAGAACGAATTAATTCCTTTTACAGCAATACCTATGGGGAAAATTTTGTCGGTTTACGAACATTTCAATGTACGAACAGGAATGCATTATGTTCATGAATCAGGGGTTTACTGCACATTTGCGGGAAAAAAAAAAGGACATCTTCCGTTCTACTGGGCCGATTAACGAAATTCAAATTGCGTTTTTCATGTCTCGAGAGCGCGACTTAAAATATGTATTAGATTTATATATAGCGTTGTTTTAGTATAGGTATTTTGATACAAAATCAGACTTTTCCTGAAATGTCATGCCAATGTGTTTTCCATATTTCGATTCTACGACTCAAATTGTGTCAAACTGCGAAGTTTTGTAAAAATCGCAGTAGTAGTTTTTAAAAAATTAGCTCTCAAAATGTTAGCTCCTCAATGTTAATTGAATTTGATAAACATTTAATAATATCTCTATTCTTTATTAAACTTTTTTCAAAATTAGTGATGTATTTATGAAGTGCATCAAAATTAGAGATGCACTTTACTTTCCAAAATTAGCCATGAATGAAGAATAGGCAGTTCCATTCGGTTCATAAAAAAATAAAAGGAACTGAACTTGTAAATTCTTACTTCTCGGAATCCGCAGGTGGATTGGGTATGATGAACTTTCCAGCTTCTTCTCCCACTAAGATAAAAAAAAAAAAAAAAAAAAAAAAAAAAAGGAAAATAATTGAAAAAAAAATTATACTTGTTTTAATTACAGAAAAATGGATTCTATTATTTGAGAACCAGAATACTTATGTAGAGTAAAAATAGCATTTTTAAGGAACAAGAAATTAACGTTATGCGGCTGGAAGAAATCAGCTAAGTGTGAATTCTCATTCAATGACTCAGTAAATTACTTGATTCCTTCTTCCAGAATTCGAAATTTAGGCTTAATTCAAATATAATTTGCACATTTTTTATGATTTATTTTTTGAATTTGTATTTTTAAATATTTTTTATACACTTTTCGAAGACATTTTTGTATTATAATCCATAACATTTTTAACATTGTCTTAAAGTAGATATATTTCTAGGCGCACCTGCAAAAAATTAGATTTTTTTTATTAAAAATTTTGTAAGATATATATGAATTTACATATTAGAGCGTTTTAACATTTGGTATCTTTTTTTTTTAGCGATAATAACGCCAAATGTGGTTTACGCACTTAGTTAAAATTATTTGAAAGTACGAACGATGACTTTTCCCGCTGGTCTACAATGAAAAAAAGGAAATAGGTTGCTATAAATTAAGAACTTCGCCAAGTAAATTATTCGTGGCGAAAACTGAAAAAAATATACCAAGATAAATTTTTGAAATTCTTCGTAAATTTCGCACCAAATTTTACAAAATTTAATATTTAGGCATAATTTGAGCCGTAAAATCAAGGTATGGAAAAGAAATGGCATGTCATTTCAGAAAAAGTCCGATTTTGTGTCAAAATACCTATGCTATAATAATGCTATATATAAATATATATCCTAAGTCGCGCTTTTGAGACATGAAAAACGCATTTTGAATTTCGTCAATCGGCCCAGTAGAACTGGAGATATAAAAACTGTCCAATTTTTTTTTGTGCAGTGTACATCTAAATTCCAATTAAAATTGTGCAATATAATTTTTATTTAATTAAAAACAAGTATTTCTCTTAGTATTTCACTTCTAGTATACATCCATTCCCCACGTAATATTTAATTAAATCTTCGGCCGCAAAATTGTCCGTCTAAATCTTAATGGCGAATTTTTGCGCCTGAGTAGTTTCGCGAATTATCAGTACTCACTCCGCAACTGTTCTTTGAATTTTGCGTTTTTCACGCGATAAAATTACTAAACTAATGATAATTTTAATAATACTTAACAGGTCACAAGCAGCATTAAGAAGCTTGATTTCGAAAGGACGTAAATCATGAACATTTTTTAAGCACTTCTCCAGTATAGAAATACAAATATAATTGCCATTTAGGAGCAAAAACTATCAAATAAGCAAAGAACAATATACTTTAAATTTAAAATTTTAAGTGATTCATCAAAAACAGTCAAGTAAAAGTTTTTTCAGTGATTTACTCAAAACGTTTACTTTCGGATTTACAATTTTTTCAAAATTAGTGATGTATTTATGAAGTGCATCAAAATTAGAGATGCACTTTACTTTCCAAAATTAGCCATGAATGAAGAATAGGCAGTTCCATTCGGTTCATAAAAAAATAAAAGGAACTGAACTTGTAAATTCTTACTTCTCGGAATCCGCAGGTGGATTGGGTATGATGAACTTTCCAGCTTCTTCTCCACTAAGATAAAAAAAAAAAAAAAAAAAAAAAAAAAAAAAAAAGGAAAATAATTGAAAAAAAAATTATACTTGTTTTAATTACAGAAAAATGGATTCTATTATTTGAGAACCAGAATACTTATGTAGAGTAAAAATAGCATTTTTAAGGAACAAGAAATTAACGTTATGCGGCTGGAAGAAATCAGCTAAGTGTGAATTCTCATTCAATGACTCAGTAAATTATTTCCAACGCAACAAATCAAAATACATTTACTGCAAACATTATCTCCGAAAAAGAAGTCTTTCATTACATTTATCTATATAATTATTTTCAGTGTCAATTGTTCTACTCAACCATAAAGCTCTACTTGAGCATCCTGAAAAGTTTACGGCTGTTGGAGGATTCACTCCAAAAGTATCACATAACCCATGCTATAGCCTCTTAGATCCTGCATTTCAATTCCAAATCCATCATTATCTTACTATCATACACCAATAGTTTTCCAGCAGATTATATCATAACACTCCCCTGTATTGGTTTGAACTCGTCGAAAATTACAGCTCAAGCATATCAAGATTCTGAACAGTCGAACTTTGAAGCGACCTGTTTGAATGTTCTACAACAGCCTTGGGCCCTGTTTGAATACCGGAGAGGGCATGGGTGTTTGTAAATGTATAGTATCTTTGCGCCACTTGAGCTATTGTCAAGACGAAAATCATTTAGAGAGATTAGTGTTAAGGGAAAGGGATAGGAGATGGGCTCAGAGATGTCAGCGTAGCATAGAATAACCTTTCGAAGAATTCGCCTTTTTATTTCAATATAACCAACAAAGTTACGCTGACACCTCTGGACTCTGACTCGAAGAGTATTTTATTCACCATTACAATATGGACGGAGGCACGAGCAGTGCGTTTAGTCCCACGGTAACAGTCGCAAAGCAACAAGAATAGAAAAACAAAGTGTTCATTCAACTCGGGATTTTACGGAGAGAATGTGGCCTTCAAAGCAATCATTAAATATGCCACTTGCAACCAGCGAAGGTTTTCATTAATTTAAATCCAGCCTCTAGCTTATCAGCAGCTGCTGGCAACCGTTGTAGGAACGTATTAGTTCGACTTCAATAAAAACATATTAGTTCCTCCAACAGCCGTAAAAGAGATACTACTAGCCATTCCGCAGCACATACATCCACTCCTAATCTAGATATTAACCCATGTAAATATGTTGGCAAAGAAAAGGCTGACCTTCTGGCCAAACAGGCTGCCAGTGCTCACAGTGCTAACATGCATAATGTCGCAGGGCGATTTCTTACTTCAAGTTTACAGGGCACAACTGTTAGAAAAATTGCAGGAACGCTGGACTACAGAGGACATATGAAGGACAATGTTTCGCCTAATTCCGAAAGTTGACACAGATCTAAAAGTCATCAACTCAACTCTTAGTCGATTCCTAATAACCGATCACAAACCATTCCCAGCTATTTGTGCAAATTCAAAAATCGTGACAGTGATTTGTGGATTGGGAAGAGACAAAAAACGCTGACCACCATGTGTTTGATGCTAATTGACAGAAAGGTGGCGCTTGATTAAGTGAGAAGATATTAACCGGTCAGCGTGGATTGTAAGCGTAATATTCAGCATTGGGGCAAAATTTGCATATGAAACATTCTTACTTTTTGTTCTGAGTTTTATCAATTTTAAGGTTCACTCTTTGTATTAATTACAGTGTATTACAGTGTATGAAATTACAGTGTATAAGTTATACACTGTAATTTCGCATCCAGAAATAACTACTCGTATAGTCCATATATGTTCACTACATTTAGTGTACCTGTGCATCAGTACACAGCATTGTATTGAGATTTGTTACCTGGATCACTATTATGAAAATGGACCATTTTACTTTTATTTTTATCTTTAGACCAAAGTATCAGTATTATCGATTACGTTTTTATATTTGTATTGTATTTTTGTTGGTTTTTCGTAATCTTTTCATTGTGTACATGTTCTAGTAAGATGCCACACTCTCTTCCCTTGTTTAACTATACATTAATACAAAGAAACTGTAGAGTCATTAGGTTTTTTTTTTTTTTTTTTTTTTTTTTTTTTTTGATGCAGGAAACATGAAAAATGTGCATTGTCGTCGCCGGGACTCGAACTCTGGACCTCTCGAATACACACTGAGTGTGCTACCGTTACACCACGAAGGTATGCTTAAAGGCGGGAGAAAATACCTTACAAAGAAAATACCTTAGAAAAAGATTGTATTGTTCCTTGCTTCAGTATTACAATATATAGCATAACTTCTGTTTACTGGATATCATCATTGTTATTAGCGTTTTCTTCTTCTATGCTTTGCATACTTGATTGGTGTTTTGCAATTTAAGTTACGTTAACAGGTCACAGTGTCCATCATATAAGTTTTAAAGGTACATATTGTTTTATTCTGTTCTATTTTATTTTGCATGAATTATATACTCGTTGTTAATTTATATATTTTTTGTACCTTAGCATAGTTGTTGTTTTTGCTATTGTTTCAAGGGGTGAAACCCAGGATCCCCGGCCGAAAACAAGTTCAGCCATCAGGCCATAACAGGGGCCAAGCCGTCAAACAATAACGGAGAACAGCGAGGCAGTCATGTTTCATCAAATTATCCAATCAAATCAGAATTCTATCGTTTTTCTATTCTGATTAATTCTCATCACAATTTCTTTAGCTACTTGTTTAAATTTCTCATAATTTTCAAACTCCCCATTCATATCAAACTGGTGTCTCTAGTAAAACTACAAGATTTAAGGAAGTGGCAATTATTACCTTTTACTTTACAAAATTGACAGTTTTCATTTTCTTGAAGACCAAATCTCTTAAAATATACTGGGAATCGTCTCGATCAATAATAATTTGGTTCATATCTATATTATTAAATATATATTTTCTTTTATTAATTTCCAAAAATCTGATATAATCATTATTTTCTTCAGACGATTCCCAGTTTTCTCTCCATTCCACAAGTATCTCCTTTTTCATAATATTTAATAACTTTCTTTTCGAATACAACACTTCAATATCTTTCTTTCCTAGGCATTGAACAGTTTCTTTAACCAGCATGTCCGCCCTCTCATTGCCAATATACCCAACATGGGTCTTGATCCAACGTAAATTTATATTACGTATTTCAGCTAGAAATTTGAAATCATTTTTAATTTGGTTTATTAATAAATTATCAGTGTGTATATTAGAAATTGTGTATAAAGCAGGCAAAGCATCGAAATAAATATCTGTTTTATGTATGTAAGTCAAGTTTTCTTTAATCCATAAAAAATGCTCTAATCTCAGCTTGAAAAACCGAATTCAATGGAATTAACGCATGATTTTGGTACTCGATCTCTGTTCCATACAAATAAATCACACATGAACAGCCAACTCCATTGTTCATTTCCGATCCGTCTGTAAAATATCAATCTGACCTACATTCAAAAAGTTCTTATCAAATGTAATTAAAGTCTTTTCGACCGGATGGGTATCCATATCACAATATTTATGAAAAGCTTCCTTCTTTATAATCACCTCTTTAATATCTAATTCATCAATAAAACCATTATCCAATAAAAAATTATGATAAAAATACCTGTATTGTATTGAGAGAGGGGACATACAAGCAAAAAAAACATGCTACCACTGTTGAAAATGAATACTCTAGTGACTGCTAGCATCCAGCTTCTCTGCCACACAGTCCAATTTTGGTCTCAGCTTTATTAATTTCCACGCTCGGACACCTCATGCAACAGCACCGTGCATAATTATAAGAGTAATGACATTTCTAAATAAAAACCCCAGGTACCTTAGCATAGCACTATGTCTTGGCCTGTGCATATATTATACATATTTGTCATAGGAATGTCTTATATACACTGTAGTATATTATTCGTTTGCCAGGTACTTGGGCATCTAGCCTGCTTGTGCCGTCATCTTGGGTTTTGACCGAATTACAAATTTTTACTGCTGGTGAGACACACTGGATCCTCACTCAAATGCTGCTTATCTTCCTGGCAATGGAGTGGACGAGGGATTCTTCATCAAAACTGAGAGGAAGCTAACAACGGCTGGATTCACTAGGTGACGTGCTAAAATCGCAGTTGACTGGCCACCTCATCGTCGGAGCATATGCTTAACGCTGGCATTTCGAAAACGGCTTCAAACATTCAACAGATTCGCCTTCTTTGTCAAGCACAGTCCCGGATAATATAAAATTCGGTTCTTGAATCTTAGTTTCGTCATAGTAACGTCTGAGGATGTTATGCTAACTCTACTGACGATGCATTAACTACTGCATTGACAATGAAAAGGGAAGGAATGCCTTATGAAACTGCTTTTTTTCTTCAAAAGAACAGGCCAGTTACTTGTCTTATATCATTCTTGTGAAAACATTAACGCTGTCTACCCAGCAAAGATTTATGTTTTCAAGTAAGAAAATGAGAAACGTGCATTCTGTGAAACATTGAATCACGAATGTAATAATTGACATTTATTTTTTCCTCTGAAAAACAGTGTGGCAGTAAAGATATTTTAAACAACTAATTTATGGCTATCCTGCATTTTCATATTGATAACCACAATCTTTATGGTATTTAATAAATATCTATAACTTGTTATTTGGGAGGGCTTAATTTCCTCTATATGTAAGAATGTTCAAAATATATAATGTTTATAATAAAATTACAATATCTAATTTTATTTATTCCAAAGTTTCTTTTTTATTTCTTTATTTTATATATATAAATAAAAGAATCTTTAGAATTTCTAGTGGAGGTCTGAGGATGTAATGTGCAATTTTCATAGATGTTGCCATAACTAAAATCTCTTCATTACATGGAGAAATGTTAGGTTGCCTAAAACTGTTAATTATCTATTTACTTTGCAGAGTGATTAGGTTTTTTGACCTCTCGAATAAGCTCCAAGTTTGCTACGGCTACACAACGAAGGCATGCAGATAGGAGGGAGAAAATGCCTTATAACTTTAATCATCTATTTATTGTAATCAAACGGTCAAGCTTTCCTATGATTTTCTAGGTCCTCTACTTGGGAAGGTTCAGAGTTAATATTGCCGTAATCAATGGTTTAAGCAAGTTTTTCATGGATCGTATGATATATTTTATTCATTTTTGCTATATTCTTTAAATTATGAAATTGTGAGCGACTTTTATACCGAGATCCAGAATTTTCCAAGATTTATATACATTTAAATCAAAGACAAATGTCTAATCTTTTTGTGAAATGACTCGTGGCTTCTATCTTTGACCGTAAGAGTTAGTCGGTCGATTAGCCAGCTTCCTTTCAGAAGCTGAAGCTGCAAGAGCTCTGACAGTCCCTTCTGGAAATATAGGTGTATATTCTACAGGATTCAATTCACAGTCTAATTACTTCTATGGAAAGATCTCACGGTATCTGATTGTCAGTTTTATGATGAACACACACTATGTTATTTCTGTTTTGGATAAATGAGTTCCATGAAACTTTTTCCCCAAATCATGAATATTTTTCTACAAAATTTAGAATACATTTCTGCAGTGTGTAAATAGCTTAGTGTATATCTAATAAAATATAAGAACACGTAATGTTATTTTTCATACACCACAAATACTCGAAAATTTTTTAAGTTATGTTTTAATAGTGCTCCACAACACTCGACATAAGTAAAGACGATTAAAATTTTTCCAATCATTTCGCTGTTAATAATCCTAGGACTTTTGTTCACCTTTTTACATTCTTTCGCTGCTTAATCTTATATATATATCTGAGTAAAACATTCCTCCTTTGAATTTATTAATAATAATCTAATTTACTGAACTGAAAACCTTCAAATCGGGGAATATGAAGTTGGAAGAGATGTAAGAGAGGGATAGAACTTGGTTAAATGATGGTTGTTTGAGCATAATAGTTTTAATACATATAATTTTTTTTACCTTCCTTGCAAATATTCTTATTATTTATGTCTTCACAAAACATTTTAACTGTCCATCCCATGGTTGTGTTGAAGATGCTGAAAAAAATGAAATAATTAACTTTTAACTAACAATCAGTCTGTTAGCTTAAATATCAATTTCTGGGAAGAGCATTAATTTCGTTATAAACTAATACTACCTTATATTATGCAGAGAAATATTAATATATAATTAACATATGATTTTTTTTACTCAAGGTAACAAAACTTGGTACAAATTCTCAATCATTTTAATTGTGAAGCCATATTAATTTCTCTTTCTCAAATTAATTTTAAGGCAACTTTTACAGAAATGAAATAAAATAAAAGTAATTCAGTTTATAAACGATTGAAAGGAATTTGAAAAATTTTTTAAATTTAAAATTAGCGAAATTACGGGTATTCAATTGGAAATATTATACGTAATACTGGAAGGTTGGATTACAAATAATTTGGCTAAAAGTAATATATTTTTTATCTCTTAAGGCTTGGAATACATAATAGTATTTAAGTCTCTAGTAAAGACTTAAATGTCTTCTTTCCACATGCAACTTGTTGTTTTTAATGCCCAGTATATCTGACCAATTACTGAAAGTGTCCATGTTCGATTTTGGGTGAATACAAAGATTAGGTTAAGTTAGGTAATTTGAATAAGGAAATAGCACACGAAGTAGCAAGAAAGCTGCCGGCTGCGCAAGAATTCCTACAGCCTTCAAAAGAAATTCAAAGGAAAAAGAGACGGAACCTAGAAAGTGAAAATTTAAATGAATTGTTTTCAATATTCAGTTGATTTTATGTCTTAGCGCAACAACTGCTATGTATGTTGAATTTTGCCTCGAGAAGACGTCCTAGATTTTCTTCAGCAAGGAGATTTTTCAGTTTAATTATGCATTTATCTTGAAGAAATTTTAGTTTCTAGTATAAACATAATACCGTGATCTTAATCTGTAGGGTTTTCCTTATTTTGCATAACAAATTTTATTTTAAATTTGATTTCCTGTTCTAAACTTCTCAACTTCCCCTCACATTCTCTCTCCAGCATGTAAATTTAAAGTGAAGTGAAGTGCTATTTAAACGTGATTATCTCAGTTTATTCAGAGCGTGTTTTGCTAGCCAAGCACACGTTTCGTTGTTAATTCGCGGTTACGCTAGTAAGCCTCTTGTCCTTATCAGATTAGTATCACGCCGGTTAGATTTCTGTGAGTCCACCTCTTAGGCGTAAACTTAAGTGCGCTCTTGCATTATTTTTTTCAGGTTTGAATTGTATTATGCTCTACATTTTAGTTGCCAGCGCAAGTGGACGGTGTTTTTGTAACGCACGAAGTCTGCGCCTTTCTGTTAAATTAGTTTGATTTAATAAAGGGTTATTTTTTACCCTTCTTCTGTGCTAGTATTTAATTTATTCCTGTGCGAGAATTCGCCAAGTTCATTGTAGGATCTAATTTAGTTTATGTGGAATAATAGAGATAGGTCTTCCACAAGAGACTGCATTGAGACAACTTGGGCACCATTGCAGAATAGACATTAGTGACTTGTATACATTGAGATGCAAAGTGCTAATTGAGTAAACTTTTGAATGTAAATGAATTAAATTTTTTTTTAGTGAAGTATGCTTGTTAACTGTTTTGTAAGAGTTAAGTGTTCTGATATTGCATAGTATAACTTTAAAATAATAAGATTTGAAAATAATAGAATAAATAATAATTTGAAATAAAGTAAAAGCTAGCATAGTGAGTTTAAGTTGTTAAAAGTTAGACTCTCCAACCAACACTATAAGATTTAATGAAAACTAAGCTTAGGACATTAGGTATAGTCTTGAAATAGGATGTTGTTAAGGTCTAGTGTTTCTAAGTTATTAATAGGTAGGATTTCGATTAGTAGGTAGTTTGTGGAACTCAGAACACTTTTCACACGCACTTACGCATATTGCAACGTTAGAGAGCAAGGGTGAGAAACTGAATTGAAAGGAAACAGAAAGCTAAAAAGGTATTTGATGAAGTATAAAAGGGCAAGCTAAAACATATAAATGTTAAATATTTGCTTGCTGAACTATTTTTCCTTCCAGATGCCTGGAAGGACACGAGATTGAGCTAAACTGGAATGACGCGGAGTTCTGTACAACGAAATGCAAACTTCTGAAAAATTGAAGTTTAGTTTTAGACATACAGCTTCATGATTGTGCAAGATATTTATGTTGTAGGTTTAGAATTTAAAATCTTAAAAATCTTAGCAAGGTCTTTAAAGCCCTTTATCGCGATTACTTAAGTTCTGGTGGGGCAAAATGTAAGAAATCATTTGCTAATTAACCAGTTATTTATAATTTCAATCTTCTCTATGTCTCCTTTTCTTATTCCTAAACAGAAGGCAAATAGAACAGAAAGCAAAATTTCATAGAGCTTGAAAGAAACAAAGCCGGAGATTCGTAGTGTTAGCAATATTTTCAACTTTAACGTTACGATAGAAAAATACGCTCCGAAAACCAGAAGACCTGTGCAGTGTTTTAAGTGCCAAGCCTATGGACATTCTCAAATTAATTGCTTCAAGAATACTAAGAATCATCGTTCCTGCAAATGTACTAAGAACCATCGTTCTGATATGTGCCCACTAAAACCAGAAGAAAAGCCCGTCTGTTATTTTTGCCGAGGAGAACATGTAAGTTTTTACAGTGGATGTCCGGTATATAGAAAGAGGTTCCGAGCTAAAAAACTCAGCAACTACTCACCCATGAAGATTTCCCAGCCCTAAAATCTAAAAACGGAAGCAGAAATTCAAAATATCCAAAGAAATATCCCATTCAGCGCCATGTTTAACCAGCAGAAAATCCCAGTTAAAGAAGCAGAAGATATCTTTAAAATCTTTCAAGATCCGAAAGATTCATTCGAGAGATGAACAACATAGCCAAAAGGATCAAGCATTCGGAAACCAGCACTGAAAAATTAGCCATAGCCTTCGAAGCACTAAAGTTAACGCTGGAATTTGCCGAAAATGAAAACTAAGCCTTAATTTATTTCTACGCTGAAGTTCTCATGGCACTCACTAGATGGCGGCACAGGTAATCTACACTCCGAAATTTTTATCCATACGTATTGTCTCGTACTTCTTCATTTTTCAACCTCATTGTTCACAAGTTCTACCTTCCACCCCTGTTAAAATAGAGAAAGAAGCTAGCTATAATTATTGATTATACTTAAATAAATTAATATTAAAACATTCCTCATTTTAGTGTACGAAATCTAGAATATAATTGTGAAATAATTTATTGACTGTTTATTACCAACTGAAATTCAAGATTTGTTTTCTCCAGAATTAGAGACTAACTACAAAACAAAAATTCCATATTTTGTATACTAATTTTTTCTTACTGGACAGAAAAGCGCTCACGATAAAATTTGTAACTTGTTTCTTGAAAATATTAGCTTAATTACGCACACCTCTGTGAATTTTCCGGAAACCTTTTGGATTAGTCTCATTAAGTTATAACGTATGTTTTGCTAATTTTTATACTTGCAGTTCTCTTCCATCTACAGTTTAGAAAATAATTTTCATAAAATATTTTCAGAAACTTCGGAATTAAACACCTAGGATATTCATAGAACCAAGACCTAAGGCTATCCTTTTCGATCACTCTATGAAAAGACAATTATTACAGACATTCTACAATCATTTAAAATACTTATTGCAATAATTACGTATAATAATTACCAATAATAATTATTGCAGATAAATATTTTGTTAGCTATGAATTACTGAAACCTTAAATTAAAATAATTTATCTGCTGCTAAACACTTTCTGTAAAATGTTAGAGTGCTTACCTTCTACAGGTCATGTTGAATGTTTTCGGACATTCTGCTGTTCTGATTTAACAGAGAATCAAGGACAGGAAAGCCGAAAATAAGTAGTTCTTTGCGCGACACTTATGCCAATGCTAAAAGTTACGCTAGAAAATGGCTCTGTCGGTGCCGTTTGTCTTGTTCAATGGTCTATGTTCAGAAAGACGGTTATATTTTGATGATGGTCGCTTGAATCAGTATAATTTTTGCAAGAGTCTCTCCCTCAAGAAACGCTGAACACAGACTGTGCCCACTTGTGCATCATTTGCATTCGATACGTAAGTCATACATATAACAAAACGCTGCAAAGTTTTGTGTCAACCGAATACATAATATAAGGTTATAATATTTTATTGAGAGAATTTACGTGAAATTAAGCATTAAGGCTGCTTACCTTGCAGGAGATGAAGAGTAAATTGTATTAACTGCAGATTTTGTCTTGACGATACCTTTTTCTTTCTTTTCCTCAAGTATCGATTTCTTGAAAATCAAATTTTCTCCTTTCTTCTTAAGTACCGTTTTGTCCACGGCAATATCCTTTTTATCAATTTTTGAATTCCCCATAACGGCATCTTTTTCTCCGTTGTTCTCTGTCAAGTTCGATTTGGCAATATCATCTCCTCCATTCTTCTCAATTTTCAGGTTCAGGTCTTCACTACGTGTGACTCTGAAATCACCAGCAGCTAGAACTGAAGTAAAGCGTACAGTTTAATGAATTTTTGTTTAATTTTAATTTTAATTGAATGCAAAATCATTGCAGAATTTATTAATATTACACAATCATTTTGACATGACGCTATTGATTTTTTCCGGGCATGAGGGAGGATGCTGTTAAGTAGTGTATGTTTCTAATTTGAAAAACTCCCTTAAATTTTTCAATTAAAACAATAATCATTATTTATTATTTCTCCCACGAAGAAATCATTAAGAAAACTTCTCAGCAGCTCTCTAAATGTTCTAGTGCTAGTTGTTACTCGCGCTAGAACAAGCAGACTTGATACTATTTGAAGGCGTCAAGTCTTTGTATGAGAAGATCAATGCATTACGCACCGATTTCTATGTCTTTCACAAGAGAGAGAGCTTAAAATAATTTCGTGTTTATAGAGAGTTTAGCCAGGATGACTTACCCAAAATGCTACTCAGAGATGAGTCCAGGCTCAGTGTAGAGATTTGAATTATTTTCACCTGGAGACAGTCTAAAAGGACTATGAAAGATACTGTTTCCACGGTGGCAATAAATCTGCATAGTGGGGAATCAAGAGAAACAATTGCACAAAGTTTCACAATCCATGACACAGGTTCTGCTGTTATATCTACATAGGTAGTTATATAATAGGGGGACCAGAAAGTAATGTCGTTTCTGCGCATGTCGACAACAACATGCTAAGAGCAGAAGTGAAAGCAAATCCATGCCAAACACTCTTAACCAACCTTGGTCGACCATCCAAGAACATTTAAAGCAGAATGGCAAAATAAGCAAAGCAGGTGTTTGAGTCTCCCATAACACTGTCCGAAGAGAGCAAAGCCAACCGATCCATCACATGCAACGTATTGCTTCAATGGCACCATACAGAACCATTTTTTGATCATTTGATTACTGGAGACGAAAACTGGGTCCTATATGATAATCCAAAATGCATAAGGCAGTTTTAATAGGGGTTACAAAGGGTTTACATCCCAAAAAGTCGCTTTTGTGTGTTTCGTGGAGTATTCGCGGAATTGTTGATTTTGAATTGCTGAAACCTGGACAAACTGTTAATGCAGATCATTTTTGTGAACAATTGGATCGAGTAAACCAATCTTTAATCGAAAAATATCCGGCTATTGTCAGCAGAAAAGGCATCAATCTGCAACACGACAATGCAAGATGGACACTGGAAAAAATGAATGAATTGGGATGGGAGATGTTGCATCACCACCATTACTCGCCCGATATCGTACACTCGGATTTCCATTTATTCCGATCCCTACAACATTTTCTTAGTGCCAAAAAATTTGAAAATTTGAATGATGTCCAAATTGCCATCTTGAGGTATTTTACTCAAAAAACTAATTGATTTATGTCGATCCGGGGATTGAAAATCTGCACACTAGATGACAAAAGGTTGTTGATAACGAGGGTGATTACATTATTCATTAAAAATAAAAACGTATTAAAAATTTATTCGTGTGAATTTAATGTAAGAAAGCGAAATTACTTTCCGGTCCTCCTATTAATATCTATTACGTAGGAGATACGTTGTTGGGGTTCTGCATCCCCAAATAAATCTGTCTTAATTAAATCAGTCAAATCTTTCGTCTTACCAATTTTCACGCTGACTGAAGTCCTTAATGTTTTTGCTAAAGATGAGCGTGCCTTATACACTCTTCAGAATTAAAAAACCTGATCCAGAAAAATATACTCTGTGATTAAAGTTTCCGATGTCCGAAGACGTAATTAATATTAAATATCTGCAACTGAACACAAAACTAGACTTCTACGCATTGGTTAGTTCATAAAATATACAAATTAGGTGACGCATTGCGCAATGAATGCATGTTGGAATACGGATGTGCAGTGTTGTTTAAAGTTAATGCGATTACTGAGAGTGATCAGTACTCATTAGTTATGAAACAAAGAAGTAAGTTAAGGGACCTGTATACCTTAGAAACTGAGAGTTTGGTTAAAAAATATTGATATTGAATAGATATTGGTATAGATTAAGTATAGATATGGTAAATTAGGTATAGATATTGGTTACTACACTGCAAACGAGTATGAAAGGTTTGATTGTAACCGTACTGACAATGCAAAACGACATTCCCTGATTTGGCTTTAAAAGGCACAGAAAAATTTTAAAAGCTGCGAGAAAGCAAAACAATGTAAATTCTGAAAAACAAGAGGGCATTAGTTATAATCAGAGGAATTCTAAGTTTACGAACTGATTAAAAGTAGGTAATCGAGTGTTTGAATTCTTTAAATGCGTTTATCTCGTTTTTCATTTTTCGTGTTTTAATGCTAACAAGAAACACATTTTTAAAAATTATGATTGAAATCTTATGCAATTTGGTATAGATGTTTAGAACATTTCATGTAAGGAGGCAGACTATTTACTAATTGATAAATGTATTTTTTATAAAGTTATTATGTGTTAAACATGAATTTTAATGAGAAAATATGCTTTTTCTTTGTTATATTACACATTCCAGCTTAAAAAATTTTTTAAATAACTTCCTAGCTTTAAATTAGTAGTCCTTGAGAATATCATTCTGATGAGTTTGCATTTTACAAAATATAAAAATATATTATATTTTTTATTACAGTGTTTCTAATTTATTGTAAATATTGCTTTTTTTGCTTGTTTTCTTACTTTACTTCAAAAATACAAAATTAATGGTCATTATATAAGGTGTTCCTCCCACTTTCCTAGCGTGCCTTCGTGGTGTAGTCGTTCTGCACACTGTGCCGGTAATCCAGAGGTCCACGGTTCGATTCTCGGCGAAGGCGGTTGCTAATTTTTCATCTCTCTGACTTTTCCAATAAATTCTAATGTCTCTACAGTGGCGCCCGAACTAAAAGGGTGTTGGATGACGTTTCTCCACACCCAGGATTTGGCGATTGGGTCCCCTGAAAACCCCAGTCGCCCTTTAAAAAAGGGAGTATATAAGGTGTTTCTCCCACTTTCCTAGCGTGCCTTCGTGGTGTAGTGGTTATGCACACTGGGCCGGTATTCCAGAGGTCCGTGGTTCAATTCCCGGCGAAGGCGTTTGCTAATTTTTTCATCTTTCCTGCTTCCAAAAAATACCTAATGTCTCTACAATTAAATAACTCAGCTTCTTCATTTTTTCATTATTAATTATTTTAAGGCCAAAATTAAATGTACAAATTTTAAAATTTTAAAAAAAGTGTTCGAAGGTATACAGCCCCCTTAAGTAAAGAGCAAGTGGAAGTTGAATGGTAGATTCGAAGTGGGGAGACAGAAATAAAGGTCTTACTTTATGCGAGAAAAACTAGTTTTCTATTCCATTCACTTCATTTTCCGAAGACGCCCCTTTAAAGTGATATTATTGCCATTTTCAATAGAACCAAGCTACTGACGAATCCAGATACAACCTGAGCTCTGATTTTAGACGTGTTCTGATCTCGAGAGAGCGAGAAACACTCAACTTGCCTTCTCTTGTTCTTGAAACACTCCTTTCTCACGGAAGCGATTTCATGGTTTTGGGTGGAATAGTCAAAAATGATCGCATCAAGCTGCATATCTCTCATAGAAGTTCTGTAACCAATCACAGATATGTGAATTAAATCTTGGAACCCTGTGTAAAGCTGTGTAGGGGTGGTCCAGCTCATATTATCAAGCTACTCTGGTGAAAGGATACTTGGAAACAGTATCTAATTAGATAGCTTTCTTACCAGACTTGAACCTGATAGAGCATGTGGGAGCTGCCTTAGATCCCCGAACTGCAACATGCCAAATGTTTCCCAGACTTGAACCTGATAGAGCATGTGGGAGCTGCCTTAGATCCCCGAACTGCAACATGCCAAATGTTTCCCAGACGCTTCATGATCTGAAAAGTGCAGTTTCAGACAGACTTATAAGGTATCTTCCGCTTTCCTAGCGTGCCTTCGTGGTGTAGTGATTCTGCACGCTGGGCTGGTATTCCAGAGGTCCGTGGTTCGATTCCTGGCGAAGGCGTTGTTAATTTTTCATAGCTCGGGCTTTTCAAAATTACCTAATGTCTCTACAATGGCGCCCGAACTAAAAGGGTTGTGGATGACGACTCTCCACACCCAGGATTTAGCGATTGTGTCCCCTAAAAACCCCAGTCGCCATTTAAAAAGGGGAGTATATAAGGTATATTTCATGCTTTCCTAGCGTGCTTTCGTGGTATAGTGGTTTTGCACGCTGGGCCGGTATTCTAGAGGTCCGTGATTCGATTCCCGGCGAAGGCATTGTTAATTTTTCATCTCTCCGGCTTTTCCAAAAATACCTAATGTCTCTACAGAATTTCTCTGTAATTTGGTAAATTCTCTAAAATCAACATGTGATGTTTCCTTACCTATCAAAGACGACAATTCACCATATTAAAGAAAAATTTGTTGCAGAGCTGGAGCGATTAATTTTCCCTCATTTTAAAATTTCGATAAATTTTAGTTTAAATTAAAAATTTTGAATTAATCAACTGGCAAACATAATAATTTTTGTTGCATAGTAATTTACATAATGCCTATATACAATTTTTTTAATCATTTTTCGGTAATTTTTAATAATATCTTCTAGTTCTGATGAGCTGTAAATAAGCAATTTCTTTGACGAGTAATGTTATGGCACTATACGTCATTATCAGTGACACAGAGTGCCCCATATGAAAAATGTGCCTCTAGTAATTTCCGCCATTCAGTGACTATGACTGATATATGTATTTGTATAATGCGAAATAAATTAAAATCCATCCCATATTCAATTCGGAATAAACCATATGGGGAAAAAAAACCAGAAGCACATTGGCAAACAGGAGCAAAAAATGACAAAAACCAAAAATGAAAAAGAAATTTACATCTTTTGCTCTATTTGTCATTGGAGGAGTTTGTGCAGCAAAAGAAATAAATGTTCAGCTTGTTTCTGAACCAATAAAACAGGTAAATTAAATTTTAATACTCAATCTCAGAAAATTAATCAAAGCTATCTGTGGCTTTATCAGTCTAACT